TAAAATTATTATATTTGTTCTTTGGGAGATAACTTGAATAAATCGAATTTATTCTTTATAAAGGCCATCAGAAACTAAGGCATCCACACTATTTCGTCGCACAGTAACTACGATAATACTATTTATTTTAGTTGCATCTTTTGTACCATATCAATTTGCCTATATCGTTGCCTTTTTTTGTTCACATCGTATCATGTGTGCGGTCTCTAGTTGTTGCTCGTTATGGGGTACGTATTGTTCATTTATTCATATCATTTTTTTTTTTAAAAACCATTATCTTCTAATGCATACAATTATTTGCATTTAGCATAAGTCACTGGGTACACAAGAAAACTGGGATTGCTACCACTATTTACAATCAATACTTGTTCTTTTGTTCATGCTTTTACCGTTTAATTTACCTGTCTTGATGGTTTGGATACGAAATATGTCGGTTCATTGGTTTGCACCATTTTCATGGGATCACAGTATAATGGCAATAGCACCAGTTATATTTTATGTTGAAATAATAACAAGTGGTAAAATGTTAACAAGGTCTACTGGAAGGTATGAATGTGTTACAATTTTAATAATTTTAATAATTTATTATTCTATCATAATTAAACATTTTCTAATGTAAATCTTTTTTTTTTTTGAATTTTCATTAGAAATTCTCAAGCAATCACTAGTCTTATTCTCTTTTTAATAACAATATATGCTTTATTATATGGAGTACGATATACATACATACTTTATTTTTCATCACTTGGATTCTTGTCATGGCTTATATTACTTCATATTAGAGAATCATTGTGGAATGGTACAACTATGATTGTTAATTTTCAAAATATATTTAAATTTAATAAGAAACGATCATAATACCGGTTATTGGTTTTTTTATTTTATTTGGATAACGGGGAAAAAAATTTATTAGACACAAAATGATAGAACGAGGTTATTATATTCGGAGGTTTAGGCATCTCGTCCTATACCTAATTTAAATTCTATTATTATTTATATAGAGTGTCTGGGACAAGATCCTAAACCTCCGTCCATTTAGGGACACTCTTCGATAAACATTTGTCTTCAAAGGATATTTTAGATATTTGTGGTTTTTTTTTTTTTTTTTTTTAATGGTGGGAAAATTAAAACAATCATGACATTATTTATTGACAATTGGCTGGTCAAAATTTCCAACATTAATAGTTTAGCAAAACTTTTAAAAGTTATTTTTACATATACCAATAATTTCTATTTTAAATACACACATTCCATTATTCCCGTGTAACGATATATACCAATAATTTCTTATAAAAATTCACATTCCTTTTTTTATTTTTTTATTAATTTATGTATAAATACTAATAATTTCAGTATTTTTTTTTTCACCACTTCTAATAATAAAAAAATTTAATGAGATCGCAAATTAAAATATTAATTAATATTATATAATACAAGATTCACATGCTTTTGTTGCGTAAAAATAGTGGTTCTACTAACTATTAACAAAAATTTGGCCCAACTTATCGATTGAAAATTTTTTTTTGCTTATTGGCTAATAAAGTGTGCAAGGTAAAGGAACTTTTGATGATTAATATGATTGATATCTGACGTTAATGAAATTTTTAGTGACTGCTGAATGGTATAAGGAATAAATTTAATTTTATTTTCGTCAATTCCACAGAGATGTCTTTTTTGAAAATATTACATGTTTTTTTTTTTCTAAAATTCTTTACTCATCAACATCAATAGAATTAACAGATTCACCACCCATTTCGTCACGTAAGCCATTGTATGGATATTGTTTTTTTATCTATATTTTAAATAAATGAAAAAAAAAATGAAAATTTGAATAACAAAAGAAAAAAAAAATCAAAAAAAAAATATTAATAAAAAAACTAACTGCAGGCGGTTCGTTATCAGTTTGTTTAATCGCAAACATATAAACACCGAGAAGAGCAAAGAAAGTTAAGAGTTGTGTAGCAGCATCACCAAAACTAATGTCATATCTATCGAAAGACCATACGTTTAATATTTCTTCTTCCTCATGAAGCTATATTAAATCAAGTATTTTGAAAAGAATATTTAAAATTAGAAACGATTAATAAATAAATTACTTATAGAAAAAGTAGACTTTAAATAAATTAACAATTGACTTATATTTCTAACAACAACTTAAAAAAAAACTGCATTTTCAAATAAAAAAAATAAAAATTTTCAATTAACTAACCGGTTCACCGAAATTCCTTCTATTCTGTAGATCATCCCAACCAAGTGGTGGTCTGTCTAATTTAAATTCAACAGGTAAGTTTGGGTAATCACCAATTTGAGGATCTTCTACAAAAGGTTTCGGTGGTTTTACAGATTTGTGTCGAACTATCTGTCCCCTTGAAGTAACTGGAAAACTCTGAGATAAGACGGGTAAACTTTGAATAAGAATTGATCTGGTAACTGTACGAGAGATCGGTATTAAACGCGGAAGCATCTTTTTTTTTTTTCTTTGTGATTTTTAAGTCTAGTAATAATTTAAAAATAAAATAAAAAATTCCGACTGGCTAATCGGTAATTGTGGTACAGTAGCAGTTTTTACATAATCTAATATCAAATATCGATATTAAATTGTGCTATTATATTGTATAATGTTTGAATAAGTTACAGACAATAAAAAAATTTTAAAATATTTCTTGAATTTTATGTAGGCAGTGTTTAAAATTCGATGTTCTTAGTAGAAATTTGTAAGATATTAGTGAGTTCTTTTTTAGAGTTAGCAATCCAGAGTGCATTATTTATATACGTATATGTTGTACCCCGGATGGGAATTTGCCCGATTCAGAATTCGGCTATCCCGATTCAAAATCGGGGCAGCCGGATTTAGAATTCCTATACGGGGTACCCGAATAGAAAATCACTTAACTTCTTTAAATATATAGTTGAAAACCGCAATTTTAATTATGTGTATATTGCATTTAGATTACTGAATTATCATTGTTTCGGAATATATTATTAACCATATAAGTTATATTTAACTGTTCTTACTACATACGTACTGTACGTATTTATACTTTTGTATTGAGTATTATTATAAGACCAGGTGTTGTCCAAAAATAGGGTCAAAAAAAAAATAATAACAGATTTTATATGCTATTGAGTTTAAACTTGGGCTCACTTTGCGAACTAGGTTATATTTCCTATTTACTGTCTTAATTGGATTAACTAGTTAATGGATGAATGATTTCAATTGCTAGCCAAAAATTGAGATACTTAAAAACAATTATAATTCTGGAAATCTAAGTTAATATTTAAAGTTAGAAGTTAGAAAATAAAATTTAAATTTAATATAGAAAGAGAATTAAATCATTACTATCTTCTTTTAACAACTAGAGGCCTATAATTTTTTTTTTTTTTTTTAAATCAGAATCGTTTCACACTCAAAAAAGAAACTTATGTATAGTGAAAAGAAAAAATATATTTTTTTTGTACTATATGTATTAACAATATATTAATGCATACAAATTGTTATATAGATTAAGTATGCCTTTTTTCCTACAATTCTATTCATTATACACGATCTTAAGCTCTATGTTTGCACTTAGAATTTTTTGGGTGACACTTACTTCCATATAAAGTATTTACTTTTTTATACAAATATTTTGTTATAAGACAATTACTCCTACAATTGCATCTCTTATTACTTGCAAAAGAATTGAATTGAAGTCTTGCAGCTTTAATGATACTGATAGTTGTATTAGCTAGTGAATTATCTAATTCAGAAAATTTTTTCAGTTCAAGTAGCAAAACTTCAATAGTGAGAAATACATTCTTTAGAATACCAAATCGACAAATAAATTTGAACCAAATTTTTCAAAAAGCTGAACTACAGAAAAATGATATAGTTAATATATTAATCTTTATAAAAACCTTACTAGAGTACTGTATTCGCATAGTTGAACATTGAAATAGAGTTGAAAAAGAAGTTGCAGCTTTGTGGGTCAGTTTAAAGCACTCTGGGACTATAGAAGAAGTAGTCGTGAAAGCTAAAGGTTCTTTATATCAAGTAAACAACAAAGTTGGATATATTATTTCTATACAACTGTAAAACCTACAAGGAACACCAACAAAGGTTAAGGACTCACAAAAGCCAAAGTTTGGTTCACCTATCGCCCTTTCTTTTCTTCGAGGATTTTGTAAAAAGTAGGCGATTTAGTTTACCCCCTCCTAAAGATCGACACGTAAAACTTCCAAAACAGTCAGCAGTGTTTACCTCCTAAACGGGTTTGTTGATGGCTTAGCTCAAAAACAAAATAGTAATACAAACACGACTATACACGTGCCTTGAAGATACTAGAACTCGAAAATACTGCTTCCGGACTATTCAGTGACATATACCGACCCTCTACGATCAAGTCGAAGTCTTTTTTTCCTCTATGGTTTTTTGCTAAATATTCTAATTAAATAAGAAGATAGTAGAGTTATTCTTGTTTAGTATAGTTTATAATTTTTAAAGCCTACACAGGCTTATAATAGTGATTGTCTGATATCTGTAGAATGCAAATTTCACATTTCTTTTTTCTTTTATTTCCTTTCCCTTTTATTTCTTAATCTGTATCTTTTATCATTTACCCTTATACCTCCTTTTGTTTTTCTTTTTCTTACTTAAAATTCTTTTTTTTTTGTTTTTTGCTTCCCTACGAGAAGATGTCATCAGTTTGGCGATATTCTATTGTAGGGCAGCAGTCAGACAAGGCGGCCTATCTCCGCTAGAGATAGTGCAGCAGGTCATACTTAGGCCCTATATGGGAACCGGGTAATGCTAGGCTTAGGAAATTAGGTTAAATCTTCTAGAAAATGTATAGGTTTTAAGAAGTCTAATAAAGTTTTAGTGTGACTGCTTAAGGAAAAAAAAAAAAGAAAGAGTACTAAAGAGAATCAGAATATCTGATTTAACAACTAAGTTTCTTCTTAACTTATACAATAAGTAAAAGATTAAAGTCATTACAGATTATGGTTTAACCAAGGAGTTCGAAGCAAAATATGGACTAAACTAAGAAGAAGTTGTCTTACTCCTCATATAGTGAATATTCTACGAACTACTACTAACCTTAATTAGCAAAGAAAAAGATTTAGGTTATAGAATAGAGCTCAAATAGCCTTGTGATCTAAAGATAAACAAAGTACAAGTAACAAGTTGGCAACAGAGTGTACTGGCTTATGCAGATGATACAATGTAGTTGACAAGATTAAAAGAGGAAATACAGAAAATAGTTGATATCTTTGCAGAATTTTATAAGCTAAATAACATTGAGATAAATAGCAAAAGGTTTGAACTTCTTGTATTGAATCTAAACTACAAGAACAAAGAGAAAGTTATGTATCTAGAAATATTAATAGAAAAGGCTAAAGAACTAGTATAAGCAAAGCAAGGAAAAGAAATCATAAGATAACTCAGAGTATAGATATCTGAAAAAGGTAGAAAAGAATATAATGAAGCTATTATTATAAAAGAAATCACAACATCAGCAAATTTAAATGGTGAAATCTTTCGAAAGAATTTTCGTGATGTAAGAAATCCGAAATATTTCGCAAATTATTTCGAAATATTTCGAAAGATAACAATTTCGCAATATTTCGAAATATATTTCGAAAATTTTCGAAATATATTTCGAAATATTGCGAAAACTCTTTCGAAAGATTTCGAAAATTTTCGAAAGATTGCGAAATAAGTTATTACTCACGATCGTTATTCATTGCTACATATAAAAGTTTAAATCTTACTAAGTAAATCGAATTTGTCAATTAAATACAATTTATTCGGAAGGTTAAACTACACCTATCCTAAAATTTTCATGTAAATTGAACAACCTTTTACTAACACGTTTTTACATATTACGTTCGACGAAAAAATCAAAAATTTCTTTAAAAATTATATCAATCGAACGTAAAATGCAAAAACGTATTAGTAGAAAGTTATCTTATTTGCATGAAACTTTCAGGATAAGTGTATTATGACCTCCCGAATAAACTTTACTTAATTAACAAGGTCGATTTACATAATAAAATTTAGACTTTTATATGTAGCGATTACTTGCGACTGTTTAAAAATCAATTACTATCGCTAAATACTTATTTATGAATTAATTGTAAATAAGTATTTAGAGATAAGTATTTATGAATAATTATTTATGTTCATGATTTTAATTCTACTGATTAACGTTAATAAATCATATTTATACTCACAAACTAAATTAATGCGAATGAAATGATTTGAAGGGTATTAGGTAATTAATTGTAAATAAGTATTTAGAGATAAATATAAATAAATGTAATATTATCTAGTCTTCAAAAAAAAAAACATTTATATTCATAAATCCGAATCATTATGATAAAATTTGTAATTTTT